TGGTTTTTCAAGCCTCCAGTTTGGTTCCCATAGCAGGAGTCGGAGCTCGTGCTGTTGGAGAGTCTTTATTCCCTGAGTTGCCTGCCTCAAGGTGGGCAACATGATCTTGGCCTCTGTCTCTGCTTCTCTTCACCCCTCCTTACATACACTCTCTGAGACGCCCTTAAGAGTTCTGCCAATGGTTTCTCCTTCCAGTTTTCTATCTTCTGTAACTTCTTTGCAATATCAGGACAACTATTGGTGGCAAAATAGAGCTTTAACATCCCTTGTCGTACAGGGTCTTCTGAGCCTATCCCAGCATAATTCCTCACTTGCCCTTTACGTTTTTCTATAAATTCTGCAGGCCTTTCATTTTCCATTGTTGCATATTGAAGGTCTTTAATGGATTTTTGGAAATGAGGCACTGACTCTCTGATTCCTTTTATTATCATCTCTCTTGTTGTTGTTAAGTACCGTTGAGTCGTAGATGACATAACAACCCTGTAACAAAAGACCTGAACACTTGTATAAGTTTCATCATTTCTCCATGTTCATAGAGTTTCTGGAGGCAAACTATTTCAGAAGTGGATGTCACTCCTGCTTCCAAGCTTGTTTTAGTCTGGGAGCTCCACCAAACACTGTCCGCCATGAGTAACCATTATTGCATTTTACACATCAGTGTCACAGTGTTAGATTTTTCATAATATCTCTGTGAGCTTTAGATTTATTGTCTCATTGAGAGTCCAAGTTAGGAAATTTAACATCAGCCACTGGGACTCCTGGGACCAGTGGGGTTTCATTTTTCAGGCAGCCATTGCTGCTCTGAGAATCATGGCCCTTTCTTCTCTCAGGGAGAGGATCCTGAGAGTGGATATTAATTTGCCCCAGATGTATAACTTTGGACCCAGGAACTGATCCACTTGGATCTTCAAGTAATGATTTCAATTCCTTTTGTATTCATGTGAAACCTATACTTGGACCAGGAAGCAGTCCTCAGAACAGAGCAAAGAAACACTGCATGGTTCAAAATCAGGAAAGGAGTGTGTCAGGGATGTGCCTTGTGTCCACACTTTTTCAATCTCTATGTGGAACAGATCATTCAGGAGGCTTGACTTTATGAGGAAGAATGTGGCATTAGGATTAAAGTTGTCACCAACAACTTACGTTATCCAGATGACACAACCTTGCTCACCAAAACAGGGGGACCTGAAGTGTTTGCTGCAGAAGGTCAAGGACTGCAGTCTTCAATATGGATTGAAGCTCAACATCAAGAAGACAAAGATTCTCGCCACTGGGCCAATTGGCAGCACCATGGCAGATTGAGGTTGTTAACACTTTCTGTTTGCTTGGCTCCACAATCAACACTCTTGGCAGCAGCAGTCAAAAAATCAAAAAATGAATTGCATTGGAGAAATCTGCTGTCAGGGACCTCGCCAAAGTGCTAATGAGCAACAATTTTAGTCTGGAGAATAAGGTGCACCTGATTCAGGTCATGGTCTTTGCAATTACTCGCTACCTATCAGACAGCTGGACAATGACTAGGGATGACAGAACTGATGCCTTTGAGCTGTGATCCTGGAGAAGAGTATTGAACATACCCTGGACTGCCAAGAGAACAAGCTGATTTGTCCTGGAGAGGGTGAAACCAGTCTGCTCCTTGGAGGCAAGTATTTTGAAGCTCTGTCTGACATACTTTGGGCACATGGCCAGGAAGGACCAGTCCTTGGAGAAGGACATCATGCTTGGAAGGGTCAAGGGATGGTGCAGGAGAGGAAGACACTGGATGAGATGGATTGACACAGTAACTGGGGTAATGGGGGTAGGTGTGTCCGAGTCAGTGAGACTGACTCAGGACAGGGCAGGGTCCAGAGCTGTTGTACAGAGAGTTGCTATAAGTCAACTATAAGGGGACTAGAGGGTACATAACAAGAACAACAAATCTACTTCCTCCTCCCCCTAAGGCAACCTCCCTCAGGGGGAAGGGAGACTGAGGTTGAGACTGAGCCTCAGGGAGAAGAGGAAAGAGACAATTCTGGGTATCCTTTTAACATTGTTCCATTTCCCTCTAAGTCTTGGTCAAGGGGTATTTCCTAGGGATGAGGGTTAGGAGCACGTCTTGAGGAGTGAGTGCTCCCGAGGAAGTCAGTGCATGATCTGGAGGAATGGTATCTTCAGTCAAAGCCTGGAGCTCAGGTTGGAGGGCAGGATTATAAGAGGGAGGCAGGGAGGAGAGGGATTCCTGTGGAGGGGAGGGGTTTTCCATGGCAAGTTCTTATTTTCTTTTTTGGTTGGTTTTTTTTCCCCCCCTTCCTTATTCTCAGCATTAAGAAGAAAAGGAAACTGGCATAGTCAGTTCTTCCCGAGACAGGACTTTTGTAATTTACATATTCAATAAGAAGTTGACAAACCCAATCCTCTTCTGAGCCAGATTTGGATCAGAAGACAGATGGTTTGAGTACAGCCCCCTGAGGTCCAAAAGAAACAGTCCTACTTAATCATCTGTTGCTTTTTCTGTTCTTTTAGTCCCTGTGTTTTCTGTACTCTTCATGACTTCCAATGGATTATCGAGGGTCATTTCATCCTTGCTTTTGCTTTCCCCAGTGTTCCTGTTAATTGAGTACTTGTTTCCAATCCTAGCTTCCCTACTATGTTTTTGTCTGGTTGTGTGTGTACATGTGTGTGTTTTAATGGAGAAGGTGTCTTGCTCTCCTTCCTACTCAGGGAATCAGCTCAACCCCTGCTATTGCTTGGAGGTTTGCTCTCCTTCCTACTCAGGGGAGCAGCTCCCTGCTTGGATGTTTCTCACTGGCCTCCTTTCACTTCGTCTGTCTCCAGCCACTTCCTCCCAGGAACGGTGGGCACCTCTTGACAACTGGCGTCTCAGGATAAACCTCCGGTTCAGATTGCATTACCTCACTATCACCTCAGCCATATGTGTCACCACAGAACCTCAGCTCAGGACTCGACACTTGCCCAGGGCTCATCTCATTCGCACACGCGGCTTCCAGATGTCCCTGTGGTTTTTCTCGCCTTGGTTACCTGACTTTCAGGGAAGCATTTCTCACTTTGGTCGCTGCTGAGTTACCTGGTCGCAGTGGTGCTTGCTTAGGTCAGGCCTTTCACCTGTGGTGCTGACCAGCTGTTTGCTTCTTTGGAGAAGCTTCAACGTCTCTTGCCTGAGGGCTGCCATAACTATAGGCATCAGGACCCGTCTCTCGCAGGGAAGAAGGCTAAAACCCCTCCCCAGAGGGAATATGCTACCCCCCAAAAAAGCAGAAAAATTATTATAAATTTAGCTCAATGTATCAAGATGGAAACATGGCAGAACAAAAACTCTTGGTAAGGTAAGTTTTACTTCTCCAGAAGGTGCACAGGGAGCACCAAGTCTGGCCAGGAAGCACACACAGGCAGGTCCCTACCATGAAAACGAAGGTTTCAGGCTCCTTGATAGGATTGTGCCCACACAATCTTGTCCTTCCTGGTTGGCTAAATTAAACTATGCTGCCCAGGGGTGGGCAGGGGGTGGTTAGAGTCTGAAGAAGATTGGGATGTCCTTGTTCCAGTAGCATGCCAAAAGCTGATTTGGGCCACTTCGCAGCACGAGGACCAAAAACACCAAGGAAATCCCCTTTAATCACCTCAAGAGGGGGCTGGAACCACGCTTGTGTATAACCTTGTTTTCTAACCTTCGAAGAGGAGACATACATCCTTAAAGTAGTGGATTCTGAGTTGATGTACTCGGAGCCCTGGTGGTGCGGCTGGTTCTGGGTTGATGGGCTCATAACCCTGGTGGTGCAGCGGGTTCTGGGTTGATGTGTGAGTAGCCCTGGTGGTGCAGCGGGTTCTGGGTTAATGTGTGAATAGCCCTGGTGGTGTGGCAGGTTCTGGTTTGATGAGCTCATAACCCTGGTGGTGCGGAGGGTTCTGGGTTGACATGTGAGTAGCCTGGTGGTGCAGTGGTTATTGCTGAGCAGCTAACTGAAAAGTCAGCCATTCAGGTCAACTCACACAGCAGGTCCCTGGAAGAAAGACCTGCAGATCTGCCCCAGTGAAAACGACAACCTGGGAGACCCTGCAGGCGTTCCACTGTCACACGAGCAGGCCGTCGTCAGAAATCTATGCCATGGCACCTAACCTCTGAAAATAAACACAGTGATATCTTGTTGTTTTATTTTGTAATTCCCTAGTAACATGTGAGAAGGACATGATGCTGGGAAGGGTGGAGGGCCGGCAAAGGAGAGGAAGACCCTCGACCAGGTGGGTTGACACGGTGACTGCTGCAAGGGGCTCCTGCGTATCAGGAAGGGTGAGGATGGCGCGGGACAGAGCAGGGCTCAGGTCTTTTGTTCACAGAGTCACTGGGAGTCGTACTCAATGGCACCCAACAACAACAACAGAATCACGTGACATTCAGCACCTTCTCATGACTTATTTGCCAACCATGTATCTTCTTTGGTGAGGGGTCTGTTTAGATCTTTGCTTACTTTGAAGGTGGGTTTTCTTCTTCAGTTTTGTTGGGCGCCATCAAGTTGGAACTCACTCATAGGTGACCCTCCAGTGGGTTTTCAGGGGCAGCAAATCGTCCAGGAGGAGAATGCTCATCTTTCTCCCATGGAGCAGCTGGTGGGTACGAACTACATGCCTTTGGGATGGCGGCACAGCTTCTTACCACTAGGCTGCCAGGAGTTCTTTACCTATGCTCCAAGTCCTTTGTAAAGTTTTGTGACTATTTTCTCCCCCTCTCTGGTTGGTCCTGTCATTATTTTGACACCGTCTTCTACACAGAAGTCTCTCATTTCCACTTCTGTCATGTTTTCTCTGGTAAATTGTGATTTTGGAGTCACCGCAGACACAGGATTACCCGGATTTCTTCTGTCCACTTTGAGAAGTCATGTGTTCTGTGTCATCTGTTTTGAGTTCACTTTTATGAGAGGTGTAAGGCCCATGTCTGGATGCACATTGGTGTGTGTCTATACCCAGTTATTTCAACATTATTTGCTAAATCTCCAAATGGCTTTATTTTCTTCCAGGGGACATCATATATAATAAAACTGACATGGCAGGGTGTCACTTCTATGCTGTTTGCAACGAGCATTGTGACATTGACCGCTTCCAGGATGCTTGCACCACCGTCTTGCCACCTGCCTCCTCTGTGGCGCCATCCTCTGTCCCTGTCACCATGCCCTCGCCCTCTCCAACTCCAGGATGTGACCATACGGTCCCTCCTCGACAGGTAAGTTCCTTCCAGTCTCCCTCTGCCTCCTGCTTTTTCCCATAAAACCTGAGTCACTCTGATGGCCTTATGGAACACATTCCCTAATTGGGCCTGTGAGGGCCCTACGAGACCAGGTCGTGGTCACCACTGTCCTCTCCCTGCTGGCCCTGTCCCCAACAGTCCCCGGACTCCAGCAGCTCTGGCTGGAGGGGAGGGTGTTGAGGTTACTGGGACATCGTCACCGCATCAGCCAGTAGTACTTGGACGGCCCGGTCCTTCCCCCAGCCCAGGTCTCCCTTGGAGACCTGGGAGAGCAGATGGAAGGCAGGATCAATGGGTGAGTCCCAGCTTAGCCATTCTCTGCTCCAGGTGAACGAGACCTGGACCCTTCCAGACTGTACTGTGGCCAGATGTGAGGGTAATAACCACATCGTCCTGCTGGAGCCAAAGCCTGTGGCCAACGTCACCTGTGCAAACCAGCACCCGCCAGTCAAAGTGCAAAACCAGAGTGACCCCTGTGACTACCACTATGAATGTGAATGTACGTGATGGGAGGCCCGGGGGTGGGGCCTAGGCTTCAGTGGGCGGAGCCTGGACGATGCAACCTGTGAAAGAGGGATTAGGGAACCAACCTTCTGTCAGGTTTAAGGCTCTTTGGCTTCTTAGCCCATCAGAGCTGAGCTGCAGCTACACAGGTCAGGCTCAGGGCTGACAAGGTCCTTCAGAAAGCAGTTAGCAGGGCATCCAGGGTCCAGGGAGCCAGGTCCAAGGAGCCATGTCCAGGGTTAGAAATACAGCCTCAAGAGGAAGAGTCCAGCCCATCTGAATGACCCCACTGCCCGGCCTCCGGCCCCTGGCCCTTGTGTGAAAGGACAACTGAATACACTTCCTTAACAGATGCCGTTTTAGGTCTGCAGACAGTGCAGAAAGGACATGGTTTGCTATGAGCGCTTGTGTTGCTGTGGTGCATTGCTGCAGCTGAGGAGATAAAGTGGGTAAATCGTTACTAACCTAGGAGAATGTTTGACTAGAGGGTTCACTCTATTTGCACAGCTCTGTGGTCACTGCAAAGGCGTCACGTCATGTGTCCACCATGCAGTGTCCAGCAGCATATTTTCCTGACCTAAAAATGTCCTGTGTCTACCAGGGACATCTGAGGTGTGTGCAGGTGGAAATGCGGAACTGAGGAGATAGGTTCAAGTGATGAGGTTGTGATATTTAAAGGACATGGCCATTTAGATCTGCTAAAATACTTCATGAACATGAATGAAAAATATACCTGGTGTTAGGTTAATCATTAGTGAATTACAAACTTTTAAAAAGCAGAGCTAGATAGCGCTGAAAACCTAAGTGAGTAACACCAAGATTAAAATACAGACCAGGACACATTTACACTTTCTACCTTTTCATCTCAAGACCCGGACTCTTAACCACACGTCCAGCTCTTTTGATGCCTAGAGTCCCATCCATAGGTTTGGGGTGGCTGTGTCTTGGGACACCATCCAGGCCCTAAGCCCTTTTATTGTAGAGGCCTGCAAGGTCAAGGAGCTCTCTTGAGGTGACTGCTTTTGAGGGTGAGATGATGGCATCCCCATGAACCCCTCTGCGTTCTCTGCCCCACAGGCATCTGTACCGGTTGGGGGGAGTCTCACTACACCACCTTCGACGGCACCTCCTATTCCTTCATGGACAACTGCACTTACGTGCTTCTGCGAGAGATCCACCCTCGTCTCAGCAACTTGTCTGTCCTTATCGACAACTACTACTGCACAGCCCCTGAGGGCGTCCCCAGCTGCGCCCGCGCCCTTCTCATCAATTACCTGTCCGTGCAGGTGGTCTTCACTGTAACTGACAATGGGGGTACCATGGAGAGCCTGGTGAGTCTTGCCCTCCTTGCCTGGTCCCTGGTGTGGCTGTTGAGGGGCCACAGGAGTGTACCCTCTGAAAGGGTGGGCGAGTCCCGGGAAGCCTGAGCTTGCGGTGTGGAGTGTGGGCTGCACCTGGAAGAGCCTTGGGGGAGACCCACTACATCAGACTCGTTTGGCCAAAGGACTGGCAAGGGGGCTGGGGGTGGGGCGTAGAGGTCCAGGTGGATATCCGGTGGGAGAGCATGATACCAGCTGTCGGAAGGAGCGATGGAGACAGGGTCACAAGGTCTCACAGGTGCGGGGAGGGGGTAGCTGTAGGGTCCCCTTTGTGGGGGTGCAGAGGGAGGCCCAGTACTGGGGGGATGCAGGGAGTGGAAGCTGTGGAGTAGACTGGACGAGAACTTGGGGATATTGTGAGAGGGGGTGATGGGGTGGAGCCCTGTGGGGCAGGTGCAGGCCACAGTTTACAATACAGAAGGGGGTGCTGCCTGGACACCTGTGTGTTGGAGCTCACTGGAAGCCAGATGCGCCTGCCTGCTCTCAGGACACTTGCTGATTGGCACCTCCATCCCCTGTCACCCCATGTGTATTGGGGGTATTATGTGGGCCTTGTGTCTGTCGACCAAGGCACCCCCAGAGTGAGATGCTGAGAATCTGGGAACCTGGAACAGCCGCATTCCCCCGGGCCCAACATCTCAGGTCATTCAAGGCAGGTCTGTCCAGGCAATGGTTCCATCCCATGCCATGGTTGTACCTAGGGGTGACTGTACAGGAAGCAAGGGGAGCCCACCCCTTCCAGGTGATGTGGTGAAGACAAGCAGAACCTACCAGTCAGATTAGTGAGCACACAAAGTCCAGGTCTGCCTTGCTTGGTGGACAGTTTGGTGTTGGCCACACCTCTGGCTCTGTGGTTACACATAGGACAGAAAGGAGACCCACCTCACAGGAGACACCGGGAGGCCCGAGAAGGACTCCCATGGCAGAGGGCCCTCTGGGCCCCATATATCAAGCCCAGGGACACTGTGCTGGTGCCGGGAGGGTGGGGAGAGCATGGTGCTCGGGGTACAGCTCTGGGGGCTGACAAGAAGAGGTGCCACGGCCACTGGTGACTGGCTCTTCCTGGACACACCCTCAGATCCTGTTCAATGGCACCCGTGTTGGCCAGAGCTTCGGAAAGAATGGCATGAACATCTCTGAGACAACAGGTGGCACCATGAACGTGGACATTCCTGCCATCGGTGCCCAGATCACCTTTGACGGGAGGCTCTTCCAGATCCGGCTCTCTTACAGCCAGTTCAACCACAACACAGAGGGCCAGTGTGGTGAGTGACCGTGCATGTGCCTGAGTCCTGAGCGCCACCCCACCAACCTATGCCTAGCCCAGAGTCCCCACCCCAGGTTGGAGCAGTGCCTGGCTCCAGTCAGGGGGGGGGGCAAGTCTTACCTCAGAGGGGCCACAGCCTGACTTCATGGTGACCACCCTCTTCCCCCAGGCACCTGCACCAATACCCGGGTGGATGACTGCCGGCGGCCAGATGGCACCATCGCTCCCACCTGTGAGGGCATGGCTCCGTTCTGGGTAGTCCCCAACATCAGCCGGGAGGGCTGCATGGGACCAACCAGCCCGCCCCCAAGCACAAGCCCCCAGCCCCGTGTGTCCACTGCAACCCCTGAATCCGTTCTGCCCACCGGATCCACCTCCTCCACTGGGTCCACCTCGTGCTCCCCAAGTCCACTCTGTGCAATGATCCTGAGCCCGTAAGTCCCTCCCTGTGGGCCCAGTGGTTGTGCACCTGCTGCCTGCACCCCAGCACCACAGCCCCTAGCCCGCCTCTGTGCTAACAGGACATTTGCCGAGTGCCACGAGTTCATCCCCCCCAACGAGTTCTACAGCGCCTGTGTGAGCGACAGCTGCCAAGGAGGGCCCGTGCCCTGTGAGAGTCTGGAGGTCTATGCCTCGCTTTGCCGCATTCAGGGCGTGTGCATCAACTGGCGGAATGCCACCGACGGGCTGTGTGGTGAGTTGGGCCTCTGCCAGGATGGGCGCTCCACCCACCTCAGCCCACCTAAGCCCTTCCTCTGTGCTTGCAGATTTCACCTGCCCACCTACCCAGGTGTACAAGCCGTGTGGCCCCATGACGCCTGAGACCTGTGACATGTACGTGCTGACCAGGCGAGGAACGGATTGGGACAGCAGGGATGATGGATGAGGGTGATGGGGACTAGAGGGTATTGGAGGTGTCAGAGCAGATGGTGAATGGCAAGGGGACAGGACGTAAGGACTGTGTGGAAGAATGAGTGCCAGGCAGACCAGGTGCCAGGCGGACTGGGTGTACTCTCAGGCCTGGGAGGAGCCAGGAGGAGGCCAGAGGAAGACTGGGCCCTTCAGCCAGCAGCCTGGGTCCCCCAAGACCTTTAGGGTGCCCTTTCTCAACATCCAGGAATCCTACCTCCCAGATTCCTGGTCCCTTTACGAAGGAGGATGTCCTTGCTCTCAATGTCAAGAGCAGCCCCCTAATCCACATAAGCACATGCTTGTATGCACACGTGCTCACGCATGGAGTACACAACGTGCACATGCATGGGATACACACACATGCACACATGGGAGTACACACACATGCATGGGAGTACACACACATGCACACCCGCATGGGATACACACACATGCACACATGGGAGTACACACACATGCATGGGAGTACACACACACGCACACCCATGGGAGTACACACGTGCATGTATGGGAGTACACACACGTGGGATACATACACATGCACACACATGGTAGTACACACACATGCACACAAATGGGAGTACACAAACACACACATGCATGGGAGAACACACGTGCACAAAGTACACACACATGCACACACATGGGAGTACACACACTTGCACACGTAGGAGTACACACGTGTGCATGCATGGGAGGACATACAGGTGTATGATGTGAGTACATACACACTTGCATGCATGGGAGCACACACATGCACACATGCACATGCATAAGTATGAGTGCACACATGAACAAACATGGGAGCACACACATGCACACATGCATGTGCATAGGTGCATGCACACATAGATGCATGCTATCCTCTAGACCTCCTGCAGCCCAGGCTTCCAGCTGCCCCATGTGGAGCTCAATACTGGGATCTCCTGGGAAGGACCAAGGGTCCATCACTACCCTCTGACCTCACAGGAGCCAAGGTATAGTTGTCCCAGGACTAGCAGAGGGCTGCTTCTGTCCTGATGGTGAGATCCTCTTCAACAAGCACACCAAGATCTGCGTGCCTGAATGCCGTAAGTGCTTCTGCATCCCCTTCCAGGACACCCCCAGCCTGCCTCCTGTGTCCCCAGCCACACGTTTGCAGAGAAGGAGGGAAAGGAGCAGTAACGGGATGACCCCTGTGGTCCTCACAGCCTCTAGCTGGAGTACAGAATGTACCCACATGTCCTGAGCAAGCAGGCCTGCTTCCCAACCCATCACCCAACCCTGCCCACCTGGCATGTCCCAAAGGCTCAGATAATGGTGGTCCATGGGCCCTGAGCCCTGCAGAGCTTCCCAGGATCTCGAGTCCACCTTGAGCCTGACTGTACGTGTCCCTACTCCTGGACACGCAGCCCAGCTGCCCTGGACACAGTGCGCCCGGGACTCCAGGCTTTCAAGAAAGTCAGAGTTTGGTTGGGGGAGGGAGAGTAGCCTGAACAGCACCTCAGGACAGGCTCTGTGGTCTTTTCCCCACAACATCACCCCAGTACTCATAATGGCTCTATTCTTCCCTGCAGCCTGCGTGGGACCAGATGGGTACCCCAAATTCGTGAGTGGTTCTGTCTTCTTCTCTGCATGGATGACAGCACCCTGAGTTCTGAGAGGGTGGGGATGAGGCTCACCTCTGACAGCAGCCCACTACATGGTGGGGGCTGGTGTGAGGAACCCTAGTTTCACACCCTCCCTCTCCTGTCCCGTATCTACTCCTTGAAATATGGCCTGAGGGAGCCCTTGAGGATGCAGAGGCAGCGGGATGACCCGAGAGGCCTCGACCAGGGGTGGGGATTCCCATACCCTGCGGGACACTGGCACCGTCTGTTGCAGCCGGGTGAACAGTGGATCAGTAACTGCCAGACCTGTGAGTGCAAGAACCCAAAGACTGTGCATTGCCGCCCAGTGGAGTGTGAGGTGCCCACAGAGGAGCCCAAGGTGTGCAGTGAGCCTGGCTTTGTCACAGTGACGCAGCCCCAGCCTGACAATCCTTGCTGCCCCAAGACGCTGTGTGGTAAGCCCTCTGGGATGCACGAAGCAAGGCAGTGACGTCAGGGGGAGTCCAGGACTGTGGAGATGACACGGCAGAGTAGTGAGACGGCCTGGAAAGGGAGCCTGTGGGCCCCGGAGTGGCTCGAGTTCCTTGGGGAAAATATTTGGAGCTTGTGTGGAGACAGACCACAAGCCTGGGGTCTAAGGAGCTGGCAGGAAAGCCAGGATTGTCCCGGGAACAGCTGGGGAGGGCACTGCCCCAGGGTCCCCAAGCCCCCTGACAACCTGCCTCTGCTGTCAGTGTGCAATCCCACCACCTGCCCCAAGGACCTGCCCTCGTGTGAGCCAGGCCTGGAGCCAGTCCCCGTGGAGAAGGCAGGCTCCTGCTGCCCCACTTTCAGCTGCAGTGAGTGAGGGGCTGGCCTCATGGGCTGAGGGCTGGCTGGGCCAGTCTGGAGGATGCGCGCCTCCTCGCTGCACAGGTGGGAGGTAGGGTGGGGAGGCTCTCCTCTACCTGGCAGGGGGTTTGAGGGTGCACTCTCCTGATGGGGGGTGGCAGGTGCTCCCCTGACTGGCAGGCCTTGGGATGGGGGTACACAAGCCTCCAGGCAGCACTCAGTCGGCCTTTTCTCCCAGGACCTCAGCTCTGTCTCTACAACGGGACCTTCTATGGTGTAAGATGCAGCCCACCCCAAACTCCTCCAGGGAAGCGTCCGCCCTCTGAGATGGCACTGCCTTGGTGGGACCCTGGGGGCTTGCCAAGTCCCTTGGGTCCTCCTGCCCTCATTTAGAGATGCCCAGACATGAGGGCAGAGATGCAGAGGGGCACTGGCCCCACAAGCCTGTACCTGGGTGTGGAGGGATGTGGGGACTTGGGATGGAACCTTTGAGTGAGTGCTATGTGGGTTGTACCCCACACACCTGCAGTCACAGAGGGTTAGGTGGCAGGTGGGCCTGGTAGCTTCTCCTAGCATGAGGCCTAGGAGGACACTGCCTGCCCAGGGTCCTAGTTCTGGTGGTCTGGAGGAGCCCCCGGCCTGGGGGCACAGCCCTGGGGCAATATGGGCTGTCCTGCTGCAGTGAGGAGCCTGGCCACGGCTCCCCTCACCCCACCTGCCTTCAGGTTGGAGCAACCTTCCCGGGGGACGTGCCCTGCCACACATGTACCTGCTTGTCCACCCACGACTCGACCCCCACCGTGAAGTGTGAGGAGACTGTCTGTGACATCACTTGCTCCCAGGTGAGTCCCTAGATCTGGTGCCTGCTCACCTGTCCACCAATGTTCCCTGGACTGGGTGTCCAGTAGGCATGTGGTGGTGACAAGCCCTCCAGCCCTCCATCGTCAACTGGCTGGCAAGTGGCCTGTCCTGGAGGTCACGGAAGTGCATGGATGAATGGGAGACCAGGAGTGTGTGAGGCCGAGAGACAGCAAAGGCCAGAGAGGGGACAAGACCTCTGGCTCTAAACATCCAGGGCCCAAGGAGGATTTGGGCACCCTGCCTCTGAACAGCATCAGTCTCTGGGGAGCAGGGGGCTGGATCAGGCTCCGGGAGGCAGGAATAGACAGAGGGAAGCAGGTGGTGAGGCCACACAGAGGGACAACTGGCAGCTGTGCCCCAGTGGCCTGCAGGAAGGCGACGGAAAGGACAGAGCTGGGGTCTCAGTCCAGGCTGGGAGTGTGTCTAAGTGGCCTGACGCCTGAATCCTGGCCTCGTGCAGGGCTTTGAGCACAGGAAGGTGGCCGGGCAGTGCTGTGACGACTGTGTGCAGGTCGCCTGCCTGACGCCTGACGGGCAGCCAGTGAAGGTAACACGCGGGTGGTGAGCACGGCAAAGGCCCTTCCCTTGACTTTCCCAGGCCTGTGAGCAAACCCCAACTGTCAATTTGCTGTCCCACCTGCACTGCAGCCCAATCACACCTGGGTCAACAGTCACTTGGATGAGTGCACAACATACCTGTGCGAAGTTGTGAACCAGAGCTTTGTGCTTGTCCCGCGGCCGACGTCCTGCCCAGAAGTGTCCACCTGCATGGTGTGTGTGTGCCCCTTCTCCCCGTCTTTCCCAAGGGGAGACTCACCCTCACCCCCTCCCCTGCCCAGGGAAGCCCATCCTGCTGTCCTGGCTCCCCAAACAGCCCCACCTTGTCCCATTTCCCATCCCCTCTGCTCCGGGACACCCTGTCCCATCTCATCCACCACCGGACCCGGACCCGGGAGGCCCCATCATCCTGTCCCCCACCACCTCCCCTGCCATGTCTGGCACCTCATCTTACTTAAGAGGCAGCCTCACCTGCCCTCCTGTCCATGGCCCTGCAGGGGGTCCTCAAGAAGACAGACTGCTGCTACTCCTGCGACAATGTGGGTAAGGCCAGGCCCCGCCTCCTGGCAGGCAGGGGAGCCTGGGCCTGAGGGGAGGGCCCACCTGTCCAGCTGCGGAGATGCATTGCTTTCTGGCTCCTCAGACAGGTGCCAGGTGCGAATCAAGAAGACTGTCCTGAGTCAAGGGGACTGTGAGACTGTGGGCACCGTCAACCTCACCTTCTGTGAGGGCTTCTGCCCTGGGCTGTCCAAGTGAGTCCACCCCTGGGCCTGGTCACCTCAGGGCCCATCCCGCCCACCTGTGCTCCAAGAAGTGGAAGGCGAGCCAAGCAGGGTCCTGCTCTCCTGAGGCTGTGGGAAGGGCCAAGGGCTGCCCTGTCTACGTCTGGTCTTCCAGCTTGAGACCAGGCTGGGCTCAGAATCCCCCACTTTGCCCCAGGAGCATGTCTGCTGGAGGAAGGTGTGGGCAGGATTGGGTTCTGGGGCAGAACCATGGCCAGAGCTCACTTGCCCCAGACAGCGGCCTGTGTGACTTGAGTTGGGTTCCTCTAGATTGTAAGAAGGACCGGGGAAGGCCAGGGTCTACAGGGGAAGGTTCCGAGCCAGGAGAAACTGCTCTGGTGGCCCTGGGTGAAGAGTGTAGTCCGAGCACTCCACCCTCCCCAGCTGCAGGGCCCTCTGGGTAGGGGACTGGCCCCAGCCTGTGCTGAGGGACCCTCTCTTCAGGTACTCAGAACAAGGGGAGGTCCAGCGTCACTGCACCTGCTGTCAGGAGATCAGGAAGCATGAGGAGTCGGTGAGCATGAGCTGTCCCGACGGGAGCCAGATCGAGCACACCTTCATCCAGGTGGACGAGTGCAGCTGCAACCCGTGGTGCCTGGACAAACCTGCACCCAGCCACTACTTGGAGTTGGAGGACAACTATGACTGATGGCCCCACGTCCCTTGGAGCACGTTTGCCTGAGCAGACTCCTGCGGCCGCTCATCAGAGCCCCCCCCCCACGTGCTGGGCTCCCACTGTGTGCACCCTGTCAGCCCCTCCCCCATCTCCCAACCTCACCCCAGACGTCTGGGAGAAAACCAAAACTGCTTCCAGTGCCCCCCACTGGCCAATGCGTCCTTTCGTCTTCCTGACCCGCTGCAGCCTGGGAGAGGTGGCTGGAGGCTTGTCTAGACCAGGGTTCCAGCCTGAGGGCGGGCTCGTGGGCAAGGCCAGCTGCCAGAGCGGGTGGGCGGAGAGGGCAAGTGCCTGCTGCCCCCTCCTCAGCACTCGACTTTCACAAATAAATTGCAGCATCCTGTGATGTGTCCTGGCTCTTTCTCTCCTGTTGGCTGTGCCCCCAGGCCCTTTGACCCCAGGAGCATACGACCTCTTCTACAACGGGGCTTATTTCTGGCCCAGCAGGGACTGAGGAGGGATGGACCAGCGGGTGAGGGCCACAGGGAGCCTCCTACATCCCCCTGGCCTCCTGTGAGAATCCCGGGTCAGCTTGGACAGTGGCTATCTAAGCCAGGGGTTATTTCAACCATGATTCCATAGACCTATGCTCATTACCACACCGAGCTCTGGTGTCCCGGAGGTAGGAAGCGGTGCTGCGGTCCCAAAGGCATGTGGTTCAAGTCCACCAGTTGTTGCACGAGAGCAGGATGAACAGTCTCTTCCAGGGTCACTGGCTCGTCTGAATGCACTGGAGGGTCAGCTGTGGGTCAGTTCCGACTTGGTGACACACCGCCTTGTTGCTGTCCAGTGGGAACTGACTCATACGTGACTTTAAATGGCATCAGAAGGGACTGTCCATCTTTCTCCCACAGAACAGCTGGCAGATCCAAACCCTGTGCCTTTAGGTTGGAAGCAGAAGCGCTTGACCTTGTCTCAACACAGAATCCTTGAAATGGATCCTTGGATAGAGACCCTTGCAGGTGGCCCCCTGGGGCTAAGCCAAGGTGGCAGTTCTCTTGTCCTGGTCCCAACCCTCCCTTGGCTGTATTTTCTGAGCACCTAGGTCAATGAGCCTGTCCACTCAGGCTTTGCTCCCTGCTGTCTGGTACAGAGAGTAGGGTGGAGGTGGGGTGGCCCCCTTCCAGCTTCTGCTGCCATCTGACTGTGAAGGGAGCAGGGCGGGGGCGGGGGGCACCTCTGAGGAGCTGGTGGGTGTGTGGCCAGGCAGCTGGGCATTCCACTACCCTGGGAGTGCACAGACTATCCCAGGTGCCCACAGAGAGATGGGCAGCATCATGGGCAGGGCTGTAACTCGAAGATGCTGGGCAGGAATGGGCAGGGTCTTTCTGGGGCTGGCCCTGTCCTCTGGCCTCACCAGGTCACAGGTAAAGCAGCAGTGGCGCAGCCTTCCTACTTACAGAGCTCCTGAGACTGGGGCTCAGGAGAAAGGTTTGGGGGTACCCTGGTGGCTGACCTCTGTGCTCTGGCCTCCCAGCCTCCTGGCTGAGGGGTAGACAGAGTGTGCAGCCCTGGCCAGGACTCAGTGAGGGAGGGGTAGGTGCACTGGAGCAGGTCACATCAGGCTGGCCCCTCCTGGGTGGTCACTGCTGGGGCAGCTTCTCTACGTGTGGCCTATGTACGGACAGAGGCCAGCTGACCCACAGGCTGGGCCTTTGTAAGCCCCACAGGGCTTCCTCCATGCAACACGGCTACAGGGTCAGTTCCTCAATCTATTTACGCAATTTGAGGGCATTCCTACCCAAAACCCGGGTGATCACCTCATTGACCCGTACAAGGTCCCTGGGCCTGTGCTTTATTTGTGTAGTGTGCAGAGGGCGCAAACCAGCAACAAGATTGCTGAAAGCCACACGCTGAGAAGCGGCAGGGCTCAGACCGAACACCAGCCACGCGAAAACAAGACGTTACCAAGACTTAAAATACTTCACAAAAGACATTTCTGCTTCCACAGTGCAAAACTACCTTTGTTCTCCTGTAAGGGCCTCCTTCTGTTCACTGACCCACCACCACTTCACCAGATGTGGGGTCTTTTTCGAGAGCCCGCTCAAGGCTGTCCTCATCCGGAAGGAACACTTGTAGTACCTCCCGGACACTCACACCACCAGGGCAGCAGAACACCCCAAGGTTCAGTGTCAATGAGAAAAAGCTCCGCTGGTCTCAATGACCCATGGCTACCACCTCTCCTTTCCGCATATGGCGGTCATTTCAATGACTTGTCGGTGCCTTAGTGAGCCATCCGGTGAAAATGCACAGCTGCTGACCCTCGAGGCTGAAGTGTGAACCCCTCAGGCACTGGAGGAAAAGCAGGGAGCTGGCTCCGGGACAGCGGCACAACCACAGATGCCCCGCGGAGGCGAGGCTGTCGTCGGAGCGGTTGTGGAGCAATCAGTTACATACACGGCCTTCCCATCCACAGACTCCAGTCTACCCCAGGACATCTGGAGCATGGCTGCCTGCTCTGGTCAAGGGATTGGAAGAGGCCCTTATTTGTTCCCATTCCTAAGAAGGGTGATCCAACTGAATGTGGAAACTATCAAATAGTATCATTAATATCACATGCAAGAAAATACTGCTGAAGATCATGCAAAAATGGCTACAACAGTACTTAAATAGGGAACTGCCAGAAGTTCAAGCAGAATTTAAGAGGCCGTGGGTGGCATCAAGGATATCACTGTTGATGTCAGATGGGTCCTGGAGGAAAGGAATACCGGAAGAATGTCTATTTGTGCTTTATTGACTATGCAAAGGCGTCTGACTGCGTGGACCCTGACAAGCTGGGCTGATGCTGAGAAGAATGGGGATCCCAGAGCACTTGATTGTGCTCACGCGGAACCTATACCGGGACCAGGAGGCTGCTGTGCGGAGCAGGGGAGCACTGCATGGTTTAGAAGTGTGTCAGGGTTGTACTCTATCTCCACACCTATTCAATCTGTATGTTGAGCAGATTATCTGAGAAGCTGGACTCTATGAAGAGGCGTGTGACATCAGGGTTGGAGGGAGACTCCTTAATAACCTGTGAGATTTCATCTCTGTGTCAAGATGACAAAGGTTCTTACCCTGGACCGACAGGCAGCATCATGACGGATGGAGAGGAGGTTGAAACTGTCAACAGCTTCATCTTGCTTGGATCCACAATTAACACCCTTGGTACCAGCAGTCAGGAAGTAAGAAGACATACTGCACTGGGGAAATCTGCAGTTAGGGACCTCTCCAGATTCTTGAGTAGTGATGTCAGTTTCAGGACTAAGATGTGTCTGATTCTGATCTTGGTCTTTCCAATTACTTGCTATGCATCTGAGAGCTGGGCAGTTGAATAAGGATGACAGAAAAAGAAGTGACTCCTTTGAGCTGAATAAGGATGACAGAAAAAGAAGTGACTCCTTTGAGCTGTGGTGTTGGAGAAGAGCACTAAGTATCCTATGGACAGCCAAGAAAATGAATAGATATGTCTTGGAGAGGGTGCAGCTGGCGCGCTCTTTGGAGGCAAGAATGGTGAAGCTTCACCTCACATACTTTGGGCATGTTGCTAGGAGGGGCTATTCTTTGGTGAGGGACATGAAGCTGTCCCTCAATTGGATGGGCTGACACGGTGACGGCTGCAGTGGGCTCTCGTGTCAGGAAGGATGGCAAAGCATAGAGCAGGGTTCAGATCTTTTGTTCACAGCGTCACTGTGAATTATACTCAACACCTAACACCAACAAATTCACACAGGATTAGGGTGGGATACTCTCTCCTGGGAGTGTGGTGCAATGGCCCTGAGATCCTACGTAAGGGAATGATTCTGGGATGAACACTGCATCTAACCTGATCCTGCTGTGCTAACCACCTTAGCCAGCAGGATCCTGACCCACGGTTCACCTGTCTCTGCAGCCATGGGCTTCATCCTACAGCACCCCCATCTAGAGAGACATTTCCCAGATGGTTTCAGGGTCTCTGTGAGAAAGCTGCAGAGAGGAGGGCGTGGTCAGAGGCTGGGCAGTGCAGCACTGTGGACATCTGTCAACCTCTACCACAGGAACTAGTCTGGCCCTGCTCCTGCTGGGCACCAGCTGGCCCGCTAGTGGGTTTTACAAGGCTGTTGATTGCCTGGGAAGAGACTGCCCATCCTTCTTTCTCCTCCCATGGAGCAGCTGGTGGATTCGAACTGTGAGCCTTTGGGATTACAATGCAGTTTCTTACCACTAGGCCACCAGAGTCTTGCACTAATCACCGGATAATCAATTCTTCGTGCAGCGTTAAATTATGTAGTTGCTGGAGTCCTGGTGACCGTTAAAGTGCTCGGCTTCCTGGAAAGTCAGTGGCTCCGTCTTCCCGGGCAGATAGTAGCCCAGGCAGCCTGCTTCTGTGTTCACCCTGACAGGAGGCTCTGCTTTGGGGTTTGTGCATTAAGTTAAAAACCGGCAGGGAGGAAAATGTGCAACAATGAATGAATGGGGGGAAAATGAAATGCAAAGAATATGCTGTAAAAAAATATTTATGTTGCATTTTTAAAAATCATTAATAAAAACAAACCCACTCAGTAATAACAATAGTAAACTTCCCCTGAAAACTCTTTAATTAGCTCTTTTTACATGGATCATTTATTAAATTAGATGGGTGAAAAGTAGAAATACATCTTACAGTGAGAGAGGACTCTGGAAGCTAGACCCTAGTGAGACCATCAGACAGTCCAGGAACCCGTTGATGGCCTTCCTGGCCTCCGGCAGCCTTCGGAGAGCAGACACCGTGGAGCACAGGCCCGCCAAGGACACAGCACGCTTCCTGGGCGCACAGAGCCAGAACCTGTCGCTCGGGAAGCCCAGGTCTCACCTGGTCCCTCAAGAACTGTGTCCTCAGACACGGAAGAAAGCAAGCGGGCCCCACCTGGCAGGTCCCCAAGCCTCTGTGGCCCCAGTTCTAAAGCTGTGTGACGAGCTTTTCTGCTTGAGTATGACACCAGACTGAGAACAGGGAGGACAGAGGCCACGTGGACGGACTGGTATGCAGGATGGTGAACAGGTGCTGGGAGGAGCCAACTGAGGGGCAGGAGGAGCGCTCCATGGGCCAACTGGGAGGAGGTCCCAGGCCAGAGAGCAGCTGTGCAGCTCGAGGCCCTGGAAACAGCAGTGCTAAGAAAAGTGACGATGCAGAAGGGAAAGCAGCAATCTTGGAAAGCTCAGAAGCATCCTAAACAGCCCTCGCCATGAACACACTGCCTGCTCGTGCCTACGACCAAAGGGTGGCTGTCCCACAGGACGTATCAAGTGAGCAGAGAGCCAGTCCTATCAGCCTGGGGCAGAGGTCAGGCCCACGGGCACCCTGGGAACCAAAGCCACCACTTAGGACCTTACAGCTGCTACCAGCTTTCCTGCCATTAACCCAGAGGCCACACTCCAGGTCCCCAGGCCCAGCCTACAGCCTGCAACAGGGCACCCACCAAACAAGCAAAGGTGAGTTCTGGCCCTCTGCCCACAAGGAGCATGCACAGGCCACGAGCTGGCACCACTCCACCCAGCCACTGCCACATCAGGTTCACAAAATAAACACTTAGCCACGCAGAGTTGACAAAAACCACGGATACATTCAAGGGTCACAGGCCCGTTTAGATGCAGACGTTCAAACGTGGCTAGGTTTCCAGAGGAGGAAGAGAGAAATCAAGCACTGTGTCCTCATTCTCAAGTGCAGGCCAAGTCCTGTCCTTCCCAGGCCTAGGAGGGCCCCAGGCGAAGAGGCTGCTGGAGCACAGGCACCCGTGGTCCCTGAGCACGTGTCCCTGTCTAACATGTCCCTCATACTACCCACACAGAACACAGGCCAAGCGCTGGCAAGCTGGGTCACACACAGGTCACCCAGCAGCAAGACCAGCTGGCCTGAGGCTCTGAGGGGGGCACTCAGGACAATGGGACAGCAGTGCAGCAGCCCCCCAGAGAACAAAGGTAGTGAGTCATGGGCCAACACTCGTCAACAGACAAAGGCTAACTCCTCAGCTCCTCTCTAGGACCGTCGGGGTCCACTAACAGGGTGCCGACCTCAGCAGCTCACCCGCACACAGGCCCAGCCCCGTGCTCCCTGCCCCTGCAGCACACACACTCTGAGGGGAACACACCCGCACTGGCCCACTCTACATCAGGATCCCACCATGTGGGGATGCAGGCAGGGTGGCCATCCCACCACAGAGCATGAAGGGCTGAAAGTTCTCCATATGCCGAGACAGCTGCGGAGTGGTCAGTGGGCCTTGGACCAGCAGGTCTGACTCAGCTAGTCCAGGTCCCAAGACACCGCCCAGCAGTGGACAGACACACATCCGTCTCAACACATTCCCGGACGGGCATGGCCAAAGGGTGGTACTGGGAAGCAGAAACATGGGTGGTGAGCATGATACCATGCATGGCCTCATCCCAGCACAGGAAAAGGGAGAAAAGCCCACCCCACCACCCCCAATCACCCTGGACTGACGTCGGGTCTGGCTGCCCAGGGCCAAGACCCCACATGCATCTGACAGCCAGGGTGAGCAGATGGCATGGCACCAGGCAGGGTACATGTGGTTGGTGCATGTCACTGGATCTTGTGGGACACTCTGGGGGCCTTGGGCTGGGCGGAGGGGCAGCTGTGGGGGGTGGGCGGCCGCTGGGGGGGGTCCTAGGACTCCTCGCCCATCTGCAGCAGGGAGTTGATGGCAGCATCCCTACTCCCCCGTTGGGCCTCCAGCACGGAGTGGATCACCTCCTTGTCTATGTTAGGGAACATGTCCTGGATGGCCTTCAGGTCCTCTTCGCTACAGCGTGGCTGTGCAGGTATGGCCGTCGGGGGCATGGCCACAGGCACCATGCCAGGGCTGCAGACTGCGGGCATGCCTGCAAGTAGAAGGGCAGCGTGAGAGCATCAGATGGCAGAGGACAAAGGCCAGGTACCAGACCCGGCCAAGGACGCAAACAGGCCTGGCAGGCTCCCGAGGGCCGGGACCACTGAGGCATGGGGAGGGGGCAGTCCCTCCGCCCTGAGGTTCCAGCTCTGCCATGTCCACCCTTCAGAGCTGAGGGGTCTCTCACAGTCTCCACGGGAGACACAGCAACACTGGCCACACTTACTGTCCCTAAGCCCAGGAATCTGTGGCATCTACGCCATAGAATACAACGTTCGTTACACAAAAGTGCTGTCCTTGTCTGAAAACAAAACAGCCATCACCAGGCCTTGCAGCCTTGGCCTCTGGGGCCCCTCTTACACGTATCTCCTGGAGTACAGCGCAAGGCCAGCAGACCACCGGCCTCTGACTCTGAGGCGGCTGAAACCACAGCAGGCCACGGCTGCCTCCCAGGACACACACTCCTGTCTCCAGAACACTCATCTCCCACACCACATCTGGGATCGGACAGTGCTGCAGTGTCCACGGGGACCTCACTTCAAAAGGCCACACAGACTGAGAATCATCTGTCCTCCACCAAAGGGTACAAGAGCCTCTCAGGTCAGCAGTGGGAGCAGGACAGCAAGAAGCCCTTCCCAGAAGGCTCCACTTTCCTTCTGAAGGTCGGAGGGCAGCATGTGCTGTTCACACTGGGCGGAGACCACAGTCAGGAAGGTCCGTGTGCTGTTCACCCTGGGCCGAGGCTCACAGTCAGGAAGGCCCATGCTTTCTCCTCCACAGGAAGTGCACAGCTGGCACCTGGGTGAGCTCAGGGCTCCTGGGCCCCAGCTCTGGTCACGGTGACCTCATGACCATGTCTGCTCCTCACTGCCAGAGTGCTGTGCCCACCTGCCCACGTTCACAGAAGTCGAGGGTGGGCAAGCACCAGAGCTGCTCCACTTGATTCTGCCAAGCAGCTCATTGCCACCAGGTGAGTTTCCCAGCCTGTCAACAGAGGAAATCCCCAGATTCCTCCCACCCAACACCTAGTAGGTCTAACTCAGTGACCTGACACGGCATGCACTACGCGGCCAGGGCTGAGGACAGCTAATGCCCCATACTTCTGACCAAGGCACCGAGACCTGGAAGGGACAGTGCAGACCTTTTCAGCATCACCAGAAAACACAAGCTTTTCCCACTGGGCACTCATTCCCAGAAACTCAATTTCCGGAACTGGGTTTCTCTGCTCACCACCTGTGTGCTCACGTCAGCTCCCACCTATCAAGAAGGCCAGGCTGTCACGAGGTCTGACAGAGGCTCAAGCTCCGCCCACTCCCCATTCCTGCTTCCCAGCTAAGGGGTCCCCTGTGTTCCAGACGTGTACAGGGGCAGCACCCACCTGTAATGGGCACGTAGCCAACACCCTGCTGGTACACAGTGGGCAGCAGGACCACTGGCTGTGGTGGTGTCATCATAGTTGCTGGCAGAGACTAGAAGAGACATCATGGATCACAAGTGACACTCGACATACCCACAACCTTATCCCTGTCTCACAAGCCATGCGAGGGGACACTGACCTGAGTTCACAGTCCCCTCGCCTGTCCTGTGTGCACTTGCTCTACAGACACCCCACTGAGGAGTCAGAGAGGGACAGAGCGGTCACCAGCCCCACCCCCACGTCCCTGCTCACTGTCAGTGGCACAGTAAAGAACAACACGGGCCCTAAATTATTTTACTCAAAGACCCCACTGCGTGTCTGAAAGGTGGCTGTGCACAAGCCATAGCTGGGAAACATCACTCAGCAGATCCCATCTCACTGGAATCTAAGACGCTCACGCACCAGCCAGGGTGAACCTACTCTTGGTGGGGAGAGCGGGGCAGGTGTTTCCCCTGGTGGCAGCAGCATGGCCTGCACCGGGGTCCACAGCAGCTCCACATCTGCAGCACCCACCCTTCACTGTGGAGAGCGGGATGTGCCCTCCTACCACCATGCAAGACAGGACCAGGATGACCTTCCCCAGTTTGACCTTGACCCTCACCAATGAGGGCAGAAGGAGAACCCAACCTCAAGCCTGGGACGCACTCCCTCCCTGCACAGGCTGGCACGCAGCCACCCTTATTACACAGGACAGCATGTGGCCACCCCTTACTACACAGAACAACATGCAGCCACCTCCCACGGCCCTGGTCCCCACACTCCCACAGAGGACAGCATGGGGCCACCTCCCATGGCCCTGGTCCTCCCACTCTGCCACACAGGACAGCACACAGCACCCTCACCGCATAGGACAGCACGAGGTTGATCATGCCTTCCTTGTCATCACCCTGCCGCCCACTGAGGCTGTACCACTCATCCAAGACACGGCCTTGCTTCAGGGACTCTGGGATGGTGACATGGGTCCAGGCAATGCGGTCGTCCATGGAGAAAGCTCTCTGAGAAGAAGGGACAGTGTCTCACTGGGCACCCCCACAGAGTACTCTCCTACCCAGGCTCCCACAGCTGTCCTGTCCCTCTATCTGCTGGGCGCTTCTCCTGAGCACACTTAGATCTCAGGTCAGACACCTTCAGGTACCACTTCATCTAGGGTTCAGGCTCACTGCCCCGGCACCTGTACTCCATAGCATGCCCTCTGCCCCTCCTCCAGCTGGCCCCCTCTGCACACTGCTGCCTCTCACCCCTGCAGGCCCCCTCTGCAGACCACAGCCCCGCCCCCCGCAGGCCCTCTCTGCAGACCACAGCCCCCCCACCCCTGCAGGCCC